AGAACAAACTTTGGCCAAATAAGTCTCCTGCAAACAAAGAGTATTTTCCAGGTTTTCTAAGCCTGAATTCCACTGCTGCTTTCTGCATGATCCAGCACCACCTGCTGGCCATCAGCAGAACTGTCTTGATCTGTTGAGGTCAGAGGGATTTGGTGCAGCCCAGCTGCATTAATTAAGTGAAAAGAAACTTCTTTTCCCTTTGAAACTCTTTCTTGGGCAGAGTAGCCTTTTCCGAGTAGCTTCCTCCCTGTGTCTGAGTTTCTCATTTTGTACAAGGGGCCACAGCACATCTCCAGAGTATAGGACAGAGTGAGACACCACTGGGCGGGGATCCAGCCCCCAGGACGCATGGAGCTGCCACAGGGGAGGTGCTGGCCAGTGAGACAAGCCGTGGAGCCATGGGAATGCCCAGGAGGATCACCAAGATGAGGTTTTCACTGGGTCTCTGCTGGTATTAGTGTCCGTGGAATAACTGGGCCCACTACCAAGAAGGGAAGTTGTATTTCTAACCATGTATTAAATTGTTACACAAATGTGAATCCATGTTTTAAAGAGAACAAGGCTTACTCAGTGTGTAAGCTTTATGCCTGTTGCTGGTAACTGCAGGGGTCACAGGCTGCTTGAAGGAGCTGTGAGAGTGTATTTTTCTACCCGGATCTATACTTCTGCAATTTGTTTCTTAAAAGAAAAGCAACAAAACCATGTCACTATATATTAAAGATTTTTTGTTTGTTTGTTTTATATATCAGAGAATAAATTTTTTTGCCTTTGAGTTAAAAAAAGAAAGAAATGGAAACAAACTCATGAAACCATGGCCAATTGACTTTTGACAAGGGTGCAAAGGCTGTCCAATAGTAAAAGAATAGCCTGTTCAGTAGATGGGACAACTGGATATCCACAGGTCTAAAGAATGAGGCTGGACCCCTACCTCACACTACACACAAAATTTAACTCAAAATGGATCAGCAACTGTCGGGAGCTGCCACGTAGGAACCGAGGGCCCCTTAGCCTTGAGCGATGAGAATATGGAGATGTGGCGATCCAGCCTTGGGCTGTGTGTGTGTGAACTACCAGCACTGAGCCCACAGAGTGAATTGAACCAACATTGCCCCTCTGTTTTGGCGGGCCTCGCCCTGGATTTTTGCTTGCTCTGCCTATGACCCCCACACAGCTCAGTGTGGCCTTCCTAGATGTCAGTCAGTCGGCTGTCAGCAGACATCACGAAGCTAGCTAGACTCAACCCCCTGAAACCTGACCCCTTGCCTCATTTGAATGGATTCTCCCCAATAAAAAGGTTCAGCATGTGCTCCTCTCTCTCTTTCCATGGACCCCTAAGGTGAGACGAGCCTCATAAAACCCAAGGAAAAAGGCATTTCTCTGTCTCTGTGAGATTATTTCCTGTAGCCCAGTTTACCTGGAGTGACCCTAAGTGTTTAGTCGTAAGACACAACAAGCAACCTACACATCAGAGCTAAACTTTAAAACTCTTAAAACAGAGGGTTCAGTCATCATGAGCTGGAATTTGGCAATTTGTTTTAGATGTGACATGAATAAAGTAAAAAAAAAAAAGTCACTTATGCCTCAATAAAATTTAAGACTCTTGTGCATCAAAAGAAATCATGAAGATATGACCTATAGAATGGGAGATTTCTTCAAGCCATGTCTCTGATAAGGGTCTAATATCCAGACTACACAAAGAACTCTTACAAATGAAGAAAAAAAATTTAAATGGGTAAAGGACTTGAGTAGACATTTCTTCAGAGAAGACCTGCAGATGTCCAGCTTGCAAAGGAAAGAGCTCAGCATCATTAGTCATTAGTGAAATGCAGATCAAAATCAAATCAAAGCTGGGAGCGATGGCACCCGCCTGAATCCCAGTGGCTCAGGAGGCTAAGACAGGGGGAGCTTGTTCAAATCCAGCCAAAAGCGAAGCACTAAGCAACTCAGTGAGACCCTGCCTCTAAATAAAATACAAAATAGGGCTGAGGATGTGGTTTAGTGGTTAAGTGCCCCTGAGTTCAATCCCCAATACTAAAAAAAAAAACATAATGAAGAACAACTTCACATCCACTTGGGAGTGGATGTTAAAGAAGATGGAAAATAAAAGTTTTGTCAAGAAATAGAACTCTGGTACATTGCTGGTGGGAATGCAAAATGGTTCAGCTGCTGTGGAAAACAGTTGGGTGGTTCCTCAAAAAGCCAGACACAAAATGCATGCAGACCTGACCCTGCAGTTTGTCTGTAGGTGGTCTGTGTGAGAGAAGCAAAAGCAGAGACCTGAACAGCACCTGGAACACATACCCACAGCACTGTGCGGGAGGAGGAGACAGTCCACGTGTCTCCTAGGCCAGACAAACTGGTACACACACAAGAGGCATCCCCAAAAGGAAGGCGGTCTCATACCTGCCTGACTCCCTCGGACCTCCAGAGCGCCCTGCTGAGTGAGAAACCCCAGGCACAAGAGAACATATGCTAAATGAGTCCTCAAAAGAGGCTCCTGGGACAGGTGAGTCCATAGTGGGGGCAGAGGAGATCACCTGGGCTGAAGGGAGGGGACAAGGGGAGGCATTATTTGTGGGTGCAGAGTTTATGTTAGAGATGATCAGAGGTTTGGGGAGGGAGTGGTGAGAAATGAATGGCACAGTGAATTATTTTATGCCACCCACTGTGCCCTTGAGAAGGTTAAAATGATGAATATGATCATACCATCCCCAAACTGTCCTTATTCTCTGGCTGGACATGGATATTCTGAAGGCCCACGTACAGTCTCAACAGCGAGGTGACCAGGCCAATCGCTGTGTTGGACAACTGCAGTTCCCTCCAAGAGGGGCCCAAGTTCCTCCAACCAAAGAGAAATGCACAGAGTTCCCAGGCTCGGGATCCGCCCTCCCGAGAGCCCGCAGAGAAAGCCCAGGTGCGCAGGAGGGTCCTGGCCGCTGCCAAGGCCTTGGCGTCCATCACAGAGTGGCTCAGCCCCGAGGGGCTTCTTCTCAGCTAGGCACCGGGAGCCAAAGGAACTGTGCACCAGCCCCTAGGCTGGGGACTTCCAACAGGAATCACTTGACTGTTAACATCACCGTCAAAATCTAAAAAATAAAAAAGTCAGCGGAGAAGTAACCATTGAGAAAATCGACTGTGTTTTACTTAGGAAAACATCTGAGGAGGAGGATGTTTCCAAGGATACTGGCTGGTAAAGTTGCTGGAGGAGAAAATACCACATGTCCCATGCATTTTTGCTTCAAAATATGCGGAGAATAAAAACAAAATAAACCACCAAAAAACAAACCAAAAAAACCCCAAAATCTCTTCTTGGGCAAATGTAACATCGGCGTCCCCTACGACGATGAGCACCGCCTACTTCCCTGGGAGCAACCCCAGGCGCCGCCGCGCGCCAGCGCGCCCTCTGGCGGTGGTACTCAGCGTGGAGCCCCGCAGGAGGGTTCGCGGGTCTCCACGGTTGCAGACGTGTAAGTGGCTGTTATAAAACTTCATTAAACTCATTCTCTGTGAAACACATGCTCAAGGCAGGCCTGGAGTTAATCTGCCACACCCACTGTGCCTTCCCTCACTGGCTGCCATTTTCTGCTATATACCAAACATGAATTGACTAGCTTTATCCTCAAGGGGCTGAATCTGCGCCGTGGGGAGTGGAAAGAGAGTGCAAACGCACTCCCACACCTCCGGCCTCAATTCCCCTGGGCACTTACCAGAGAGAAGTGGAAACCTGCGTCCACACAAAAACCTGAGCACAACTGTTCACAGCGCTTCCGCTTCCAATAGCTCAGCTATCGTTAAATTAATGACAAGGGCCTGGGGCTGTGGCTCAGTGGCAGAGCCCTTACTAGCATGTGTGAGGCACTGGGTTCCATCCTTTGCACCACATAAAAATAAACAAATAAAATGCAGGCTTATTGTCTGTGTACAACTACAAAAAATGTCTTTAATTAATTAATGACAATAAAAACGATCAGTATCAAAAACTACCACCTATAACTAAAACCACATTTAGAGAAAAACCATTCATATTGCTTTTAACGCTCTGATAGTTAATGACTGGTAAATAGTTTGATGAAGCCTGGGTTCCTAAAAATGTGAAGCAGGCAGAGACACCTGTGCATGGCGGTATCAGGAACCCTAGAAATGCCTAGGGGAGGAAAGAGTGAGGAAGGAAGACGCCCAGGCCACAGGATGGGTCTCCTAACACGGGTCATTTCCCAACCCAGTCCATCCAGGAAAAGGGGGAGGATGAACCATGCAATCAGAGTTCTCCCCTGGAAGCCTGAGCAGGGGTGAGGCAGAGGCCACAGGGCTCCCTGAGGCTGGGAGGATCCAATATGGGCAAAAGGGTGTCTGACACACTAGCAAAGGTTTTGTTTTGTTTTGTTTTTTAGCTAGAGTTTAGGAAAAAGAAAGGATAATAATCAAAAGCAGAAAATACATAGAAGACAAAAAATAAATGATTCTGAATTTCAAAAGCTATAGCTAAATCATTGAAAATAAGAAATGAGCCAGGCCCACTGGTGCATGCGTGTGATCCCAATGACTGAGGCAGGGATATAGAAAGTCCAAGGCCAGCTTCAGCAACTAAGTAAGACCCTGTCTCAAAAAAAGAAAAAAGAAAAAGACTGGGATATAGCTCAGTGGTAGAGTATACCTGGGTTCAATCCCCAGTATTGGAAAAAATAAAGAAAAGAAAATGAGAAATTGGGGGAGTCACCTCTTTTCCAGAGTTTGCATGATTAACATACAACCCCTTAAATATATCAGTAGAAAAATGTACCACATAGGGACAAAAAAAAATGTTTTCTTTACATAGATTTCAAAGACTGAAAAACATATCTCACGGAAATATATGTCCCTCTCCTTGCTGGGGCTGGGACTCAGGGCCCTATGAGTGCTGGGCAAGTGCTCTAGCCTGAGCCACACCCGGCCTCAGAAAGACGGGGCAGTGCGGTGAGCAGCGAGCTGTGGCCTTCACGTTTACTGTAAGGGCTTGTTCCTCTGTTCCTGAGAACTCACTGCTTCTAACTTCCGCTTCTTCTTACCCCTAGTCCCGACTTTCAGGAGGACTTGGCATGTTCTTGCTTTTTGATTTTAAACCCTCCTCGGAAACACTTCACTCCCCTCCCTTTCTCCTAGCACCAGGAGGAGTTTGGAAGGAGTTGGGCTTCCACGACAGCTCAGCCCTCCAAAGCCTGCTCTTCCCCACCACGAAGCCTGCGGTTCCATTGGCTGTTGGCTCTCAGTCTGTCCTTGGTACCGTGCTCTGGCTGGGTGCTGGGTGCTCTCCTGGGGGCCCAGCTTCATGCTTCCACCTGCACAGGCTCCTGGGCTGCGTCTTCCCCGAGTTCCCTGCTTTCCAGCTTCCGCCACCCAGCACAAGTCTGAAGCCAGCCTGCTTTTCCTCCTGTGGGCCCTGGGGTTTCTTCACAGACCTGTGACTTCTTGTCTCTGAATTGAATGACTCTCCTCTCAGGCCTCCCGGATGCGGTGAGCCCTCTGACAGGTAAAGTGTGGGAGCCGGGGTTTCAGCCTGCTCCCACCATTCACCCCCTGCTCTCAGGAACTCCAGGGGGCAGCCTTCCCTCCCCATTGTGCTTTCCTGGTGATTTACGCTCCTGCTTTTTCCCCGTGTTCTGAGAGGTTCTTTGTATTTGGTCTTCCAGGTCAGCAGTTCAGGTTCCAACCTTGACTGTTCTCTCCTGTGGCTGAGGTACAAGAGGTTCAAAGTCCGTATCATGACTTTAATGTGACACCCGAGACAGTTTCAAGTAGTCTTTGGGATGTTTCAGGGATCTGTGTAGGTGTGTTGCATTTATTTCATCTTATAAGCTCTTTGAGGGGAGAAGGCTACTGAGGATCATACCCAGGAGTGCTTTACCACGAGCTACATTCCCAGACCTTTTTATTTCGTTTTTAATTTTGAGACAGGGTCTCACTAAGTTGCCCAGGTTGACCTCCAACTTGGCTTCCTCTGGTCTCGGCCTCCTGAGTCGCTGGGATTAGATGTGCACGCTGGGTCTGGCAGCCCTTCACCTGTCTGTGTGGACTTCTTCAGCAGCAATTTCACTTCATCAGCCTCACGAAGTCACCCAATTCAATCTCTCAGTGACACTGAGGTAGAAAAGGCCAGGCAGTGGAAAGCAGGAAAGGCCAGGGCAGGTGGACCAGAGGCCAGCCCAGGGATAGCCATTCCAACATGCCTCACGTGTTATAAGACAGTTCCTGGTTCTCAGAAGGGGTGTCAATCTCCATCTTGCCAAAAGCGACTGCATAATCCATAATCAGGTGGTGGAGCAATTGAAATATCAAAAGCCAGTCCAGAGGACCTTATCAACTTTTTTTTAGGTGCCTCTGAAGGGAGGAGTGCTGGAGGACTAACTGCGCCCTTGCCTCACCCAGGCACCCGGCCCAAGAATTCTGCATCTTTCTTTCACTTTCTTTTTCATAAAATCCCTGCTCACCGGCTCAACTTAGTGGTGACCCAGGGTCATTCTTCAGCTCTGTGGAGCACAAGCTCCAGCCGGAGTCCTGTCAGCAATAACGTGAAATAGCTCAACAGGCACCTGTGAAGCTCAGCCCCGCTGCTCCCTGGTCTTCCTTCCCCTTCCTTCTTCCCAGCTGAGATGCCTGTTGTGAGCCCGGCCAGGCCAGCCTCAGCCAGGTCCCTCCCAAGCTTTGCAGATGGCACATGACCCTTGCCTCATCCCTGTCATGGGGTTGGAATACAATTCCTTGTGAGTCATGTCTAACCATTCCCAAGAAGCCTGTGAGTGAAAATAAGATGGCCCTGGTGACATACGAAATTGCACCAGGTCAAAAATATGAAAACTGCCATTTTTTAAAGTATTTGTTTTTTAGGTGTAGATGGACACAACACAACGTTTTTATTTTTTATGTGGTGCTGAGGATCGAACCTGGGTCCCGCCCGTGCTAGGTGAGCGCTCTACCGCTGAGCCACAATCCCAGCCCCGAAAAACTGTCATTTTTTTAAAAATATTTTTTTAGTTGTACCTAGATGCAGTGTCTTTATTTTGTTTATTTACTTTTTTTTAGAGAGAGAGAGAATTTTTTAATATTTATTTTTTTTTTAGTTTTCGGCAGACACAACATCTTTGTTGGTATGTGGTGCTGAGGATCGAACCCGGGCCGCACGCCTGCCAGGTGAGCGCGCTACCGCTTGAGCCACATCCCCAGCCCTTTGTTTATTTACTTTAAAAAAAAAATTTTTTTAGTTGTATATGGATATAATACCTTTATTTTATTTATTTATTTTTATGTGGTGCTGAGGATCAAACCCAGGGCCTCACACGTGAGAGGCAAGCACTTTACCGCTGAGCCACAACCCAGCCACCATGAAAACTATCATCTTTAAAATACTACTTTTAAAAACTATGGAGATAAACAGTAATTTTGGAAAAAAAATTCAAGAATGAGTTAAAGATTTAGCTACCAGAGCATACACACAATTTTGATGTTAAATGAAAGGTTAATAAACAGAACTTTACAAGAACAGAAAATGGGTTCCTTGGTGTTAAGTTGAAAGACAAGTCTGTCGAGTTGAGAAAGAAACAGACAGAGAAAACACAAGCCTTGTCACTGCCTTGGAGAGACTATGTTCAGTGTGAAAATACTGTAAAGTGATAAACCAATGTGGAAATAAACAGAGATCCACCAAATGACAACAGGGACAATTTATCCGGGCAAGGGAGTCAGTCACCATCAATTGCATTTTGGCAGAGATGCGGAAGATACGTGCAGGAAATAAAAATGCTTCATAGTGGGGGAAAAGGAAGGCTTCAGGTCTGCCCCCATTGGAGCTATTTTAAAAATGATAGTTTTCATATTTTTGAACTCAAATTTGTTCACTGTTATATTCATCTGTATTTGATATTCCTGAGATTTCTTATCTGTTTTATGACATCCGACTTTTATCTCGTAGGTCCTTTTATCTACTGTACATCTTTGAAGATTGTGAACTGTGGCTTTAATAAACTTTCTGATTGCTACATCATTTCTATTTCCTGGGCACAAATTCTCCCATCTTTAAGATTTATAGGATGAGTATACTAATTCTCGGTTTCTTCATACATTGTGTGAATGGGGTTTGAGAGTTTATCTCTTCGGGGATTCAGAAGAAGAAGTTTTCTTGGCTTTTTGTCCTTTCTTTTTAATTTTTCATGTATTTTTCTCCCTCCTTGTTTGTAGTTTCATGATTTTCTCATTCACAGACAATCAGAATTCAAAGGCAGCTCTTTCACAGTACCTCAGCTCTCCCTCCCGGATAAATCTGCAAGGTGGCCCTTCTGACCTCACATATGCAAAAATCCCCTCCCAGTTCCCACTATTGTTCTCCACCAATAAAACCCTAAGTCTGGGAAAGGGGGAAATCCACACCAGGAATCTAGACAGGGATCTAAGCAAGGCTTCTTCCCAGTGGCATTTGTTACAACCAGGCAAGATACTTGTGCTGCAATTTCATAGCAACCTGGGTGGAAGATGAAGTCTTCATGCAGCCTGAGAAGACCTCACTGCAGATGTCAAATGAAAGGACACTTGCCGACTCCACGCCAAGTCCAAAGACCATGCCACACGCCAGCATCTCATACAAGAGATTCATTGTCAGTAGCACAACAAACCGACCAGGCTGTCCCTCCAAGGAGAGCAGCAGAGCGTCGGCTCACTGAGCAGCTTCGTCTGTAAGAGGGATTTCATAAGCTGCTTAGGAGTTTCGTCATAAGCTGGGGTAGGGTTGATCGTTTAGCAGGCACATGTTCTTTTTTTTTTTAATATTTATTTTTTAGTTTTAAGTGGACACAATATCTTTATTTTATTTATTTATTTTTATGTGGTGCTGAGGATCCAACCCAGGGCCTCACGCCAGCCAGACCAGCGCTCTACCGCTGAGCCCCAGCCCAGCCCCAGGCACCAGTTCTTATGGGAAGCTAAGCAGCTTTGCTTCAGAATCGAAACTCTGGAGCCTCTAGATAAAATGGCTCCGGACCTAAAATGGGAAATCTGATGCCCATATTGATCTGATGCCCATATTGATCTGATGCCCATAGTCACCCAGAAGCGTGTAGAAGCCTGAGAAGCTGCACTCATCAAACATCTCACAACCTGAAGACCCAGGAAAGGTGGCTGAGAATGGGGCCAGATGCTGAGTGCAGAGCTGGAGACCTTTTCATCACTGACTTATCGGAGTGCTTGTCATGGCCAGTGCCCTGAGCAGGGCTCCTTGGCATGCAGGAGTCTTGCTTCTTTTGTTCTTCGTCCACACATGCTCTGAGTCAGGGGCAGCCCAGCTCTGTAAGAGTCAGATGGTAACTATTTGCCTCTGGGTCCCAAGGTCTTGTTGCACGAGGGCCCTGCCACTGTAACAGGAAACAGCCAACGGGGGGCTGAACCCCACTTACAAGAGGACGAGGTGGAGGTGGGCTGGTCGGGGTGAGCCTGACCCTTGCTGGGGCTCTGTGTGCATGTCCAGTGGAGACGCCTCCTGGAATGTGAGCCCATGTAATCTTCACGTGGGCGGAGAACAGGTGTCTCCAGCCGGATTTGCTGGAAGACGGATCTGCTGGAGGCAGGACTCTTGATTCTCCACCCATTCTGGATAGGGTCAGGGCATTTAGCTTTCACTCTGTTTATCTTAAAATTAGTTATGCAGATTCCCTTGCAGCCAAGTCGGGTGAGGTGGTGGTTCTGTGTGTGAGACAGGAAGACAAAATGACCCTGACTCTCCTGCTGCACACAAGGGTGTGGAGATGGTGGCAGCTTCGATCTCAGGCTCCTGCCAGCCACAGCTGCCAGGTCACTTCTTCACAACAGTCCCTGGGCCCAGCTGCCTCCTAAACCACAGCCCACCCAGCAATTTCGCAATATACCCTGTGCTAAACCCACTTCTGCTTTAAACCCTGGGAGTGGTTTCTGTGTTCTGCACTGACCCCTCATGGACCTAGCTACCACCCCAGTCAAGGCTGCTTCTCCCTCCCGCTCTCCCTCCCTCTCAGCACTGGAGATCAAACCCAGGGAATTCTACCACTGAGCTACATCACATCACAGGCCTTTGTATTGCGTATTTTGAGACGGGGTCTCATTAATTTGCTGAGGCTGACCTTGAACTCGCCGTCCAGCTGCATCAGCCTTCAGGGTCACTGGCAGTAAGTGGATCTCTAGGACATCTCTATTCATAACTCAGAGATGGTTCTGACCGGAAGATCAAAACTTCAGATGTGAATGGCAGGGGACTGATGTAAAGAGCTGTTAACTGGTGACAACAAGGTGAACTACTGAAGTAGGTCAAGAGCACTCTTCAGGAAAACAGACGCAGGAAATGCAGAAAGTGGCACCACAGGTGGGGCTTAAAGCGGAGCCAGGAAAGGGCCAGGAGCTGGAAGAGCAGCTGCTGGGCACAGTAGGCGGACCAGCGGAGGAGGGGGGGAGGGGAGGGGCCAGTCAGAAGTTGTCTGAGAGAAAACCGGGAAGTCTCTTGGGTTTCCAAGGTAACGGCAAGACCAGAGCAGGCCTCAGGCACAGAGAGGAGTCTGTGACAGCTGGGAGGACAGGCTGTTAAGAACAGACCCAGGAGAGCACTCTGGGGACACCCTCCACAGTGCAAGTGCCCTCTCCACAAGACTCTTCTGCTGCCAGTCCCGGCCTCTCGGTCCTACCACACCTGGGGCAGGTGTGAAGCTTAAGGGCCTGGAGAGCCCGAGGTGCCCTGCAGGTGTGGAGAGTGTTGAGCTGCAAAGAAGCTTCTGGGATTATGCCACATCTTTCCACTTCCTTCCAGTGTTAAAAAAGAAGGCAGGAATCTGGGTTCGGTGTAATGCTGGATCACAAATTTAAAAGGAATTTTACCAACTAATACAGCAATCCGTGTCGCCCGTTCGGCCTGTGCATAACCCGTCGGTGATCTTTGATACTGTGTGTTAAGACCAGTGAGCACTCCTATGGTCCCAGCAGCCCAGGAGGCCCGGACAGGAAGCTCACCACCAGCCTGGGGTCTCGAAACGGAGGTCTCAGTTCTGATGTGGCTCAGTGGTAGAGCACCCCTGGATTCAATTCCAGTACCCAGAAAAAGAATATAGACTAAACAGACAGTGTCAAAATAAGATGCTCACAGATCACTGCTTGTTCTGGAGTGGAAGAGCCCCGAGTCTGCGGGAGTCTTTGTATGCCTGTCTAGACGTCCGGGAGTCCCACGGAGAAGACTGCTTCACTGCTGGGTGTCCTGTGCCGTGGGCAGGCTGCCTTCACTTATTTATTTATTTTTTAACAATAGGACTGCAAACCAAAAACCAGAAACCAATGAAACAATGAACTCTGAAATCTGAGATTTGAGTTCTTGAGGAGAAACACTCCCTGATTTCCCTGCCGCTTGGTCCCAGCAGCAGGGTCAGCAGGGGGGAAACGGGCTTCCTGAGAGAACACTGGGGCTCTTATTTTGAAAATAAACCTTTTTAATAAGGTATAAATTCACGTGCGTGCGAAGACGTGTGGACGCAGGCGGGCCACAGAGCGAAGTAAATGGAATTTTTCTCATTGGGATAGAAAAACAGAAGCTCAGAACGATTGATTACGTGATTTGCCCATGGCCACCTACTATTGTTAATTCTTAAGCTGGTCTACACTTGGACTCCAACAATTCATCATAATTACGATTTATGTGTTCCTACCAATTACTTCCTCCAGTATCTTCAGTTCTAGGTTCAGCTGTCTGTATGCCTCCCCATATTACTAAAATCTGACCATATTTCCTCATCACTGGGCTGTTTTCCTGATATATAATCATGCAGCGAAGATCAAGAGGGATTAATATGGGGCTCATTTTGCTCCTTTCTCAAATCATCCAAGTTGGGATCAACAATATTCCACCTGTCACACTAGCAACTTTGGCTCTCAACATCTGGTTCTTCTTGAATCCTATGAAGCCACTGTATAACTCCTGCCTTAGCGTGGAGAAGTGTTACCAGCAAAAAGACTGGCAACGTTTACTGCTTTCTCCCTTTCACCATGCTGATGATTGGCATTTGTATTTCAATATGGCATCCATGCTCTGAAAAGGAATAAATCTGGAGAGAAGACTGGGAAGTAGATGGTTTGCTTACATCATCAGTACATTCTCCCTACTCACTGGGGTGGTGTATTTGCTCTTGCAATTTGGTTTTGCTGAACTTATGGATGAGCCTGACTACAGAAGAAACTGTGCTGTGGGTTTCTCAGGAGTTTTGTTTGCCTTAAAAGTTCTTAACAATCATTATTGTCCTGGAGGCTTTGTCAACATTTGGGGCTTTCCTGTACCCAACAGATTTGCTTGTTGGGCAGAACTTGTGGCTATTCATTTCTTCTCACCAGGGTCCTCATGTCTTCTTAGGCTGCTGTCTTAATTAGCACAGGATGGCATAACAAATAACATGGACTGTGTGGCTTAAACAACAGAATTTATTTCTCACAGTTCTGGAGCTAGATGTCTAAGATCAAATTGGCAGCATGATCATTTCTTAGTGAAGCCACTTTTCCTGTGTCCTCATGTAGCAAGGTGAGAAAGAAAGAGGCACAGATAGATGGATGGACAAAGGACACATGGGCACAAATACGCAAATTCTATTTTCACTTCTTACAAGGGTGCTAATCCTGTTGCAAAGGTCCCACCCTGCTGACCCCATCGAACCTAATTATTTTGAAAAGGCCTCATCTCCAAGTACCTTTACATTGGGTGTTAGGGTTTCAGCATGTTAATTTGAGAAGGGCATAATTTAGTCCATAGCAGCACCTCTGGACTATGGTTTTATTTATTTTTTGATGAAATATCATTTCAGAGCATCTGTGTGTAAACATCAGCTTTCATTTGCCTTTATGAAATTCAGAAGTAATGTCCAATTAGCCCATGGTTTCTAAGCAAATTTTAATTTAAGTGCATGAATAAATATTGTCTTCTGCAATTGGTTCCAGAAACACATGGGGCTGGGGCTGTAGCTCAGTGGTAGAGTGCTTGCCTAGCATGCATGAGGCACTGAGTTCGATCCTCTGCACCACATAAATATAAACAAATAAAATAAAGGTATATAAAAAAATAAGCACATGGTATACAGGGATGCAAATATATATGAGAAATTTCCATACCAACTTGACTACACAAGCTGCAAATTAGACCCTATTTAGGGCCCAGTTAGCCAGCTCAGAATGCTGGTTGTGGAGCAGTAGGTAGAATCCAGGAAGCAGCTGCTTTTCTAGTTGAACAGAATTGTCTGGATTAAGGTTCACTACAGGGCTGGACCTAATTGGCCAACGTGTTGTGATATAATTGTGGGTGTGTAGATGCAACACTAATTTAAGTTGTATTTAACTAACTAGACTTGTTAATGATCAATTCTGGTGACTTGGTGACAGGTACAAGACTTGAGTGCACTGTGTTGAATGTCTCAGATAATGAAAAAAAAAAGAAAATAAAGAAAAGTCATGTTCAAGGTTAGTAGGTGGTATGAATAAATATATCTATTAAATTGAAGAGGACTGTATAATGTGTTTTACACAAAAAATAATGTTTTTTAATCTGAAAAGTTAATTATAAATTTACCAATAATTTTGACTTGGATTTTTTTAGTAATATATTTTTTTCATTAAAAAAATAATGAAGCCTGTGGAAAAAAAAATAAGGTATAAATTCAAATTTAAAATATGTTTGAAATCTATAATCAGGTGGGTTTATAATTTTGGCACCAAGGACATGGTCTTATCTGAGGGTTTTTTGTTTGGTTTTTGTTCGAGTATTGAGTGCAGCAGTGCTTCACCACGCAGCTACACCCCAGAACTTTTTCTTTCTTATTTTGGGACAAGATCTAAATTGCCCAGGTTGGCCTGGGGACCCTCCTGCCTTAGCTTCCTAAATTGCTAGGATTAAGCAGCTCAGGAGGCTGAGGCAGGAGAATCACAAGTTCAAAGCCAGCTCCAGCAATTTAGTGAAATCCTAAGTAACTTAGTGAGAACTTGTCTCAAAATAAAAAATCAGAGGGCCTGAGGATAAGGCTCCAGGGTAAAGCACCCCTGGGTTCAGGCCCTGGTACTGGGAAAAAAAGAAAAAAAAGCCAGAATTACAGGTATACATCACCATGCCTGGCTTTTCAATTATATTTATCTATTTATTTAATACATGACAGCAGAATGCATTACGATTCTTATTACATATATAGAGCACAATTTTTCATATTTCAGTTATTTTTAAAGAAAAGGAGAAGAAAATAGTAGATTGTAATGAAACAGAAATTTTAGGATGGCAAAAAGAAAACACCAAATTCCCTAATTATAGTCTTTATTTACTAGTGTGTATTGAATTTTTAAATAACAGTAGTGTTCTCTCTTATTTTACAATCAATCTTGCATCGATTAATGATGAGGTGGCATTCTGAGAAATGTGTCATTAGACGACTTCTTTTTCTTTGTAGTTGTAGGTGGATGAAATGCCTTTATTATATTTGTTTATTTTTATGTGGTGCTAAGGATCAAACCCAGTGCCTCACAAGCTAGGCACGCTTTCTGCCACTGAGTTACAGCCCCAGCCCTCATTAGGTGACTTTATCCCTGAGCCAGTGTCCGGCACTCACAGGAGCCCGGCTGGCATGGCCTGCTGCACACCTGTGCACACTCACACCTGGGTATGCATATGCAGCCCATTGAACAACCAAAGCCCTGATGAACAAACAGTATTAGGTCCATCAAGCACAAGAGAAAGCCCTGCATCCAGGCTGCTATGACCAAGAAATTCATGAGTGCAGCGTGGCAGGGTTTCACGGCATTTTTTATGGTGGGCACACAAACCAAAACGCTGATAAAAAGCATCGTGTGATAAGTATGTGAGCCAGCAACAGTCGATGTTATCACCCCCGAGCACCGTGCACTGTGCAGAACCGTGAGTGCTGCAGGACTGGCCGCGTGCCCCACAGTGGCACACCAACACAGTAAGGTGGCAGCTGCTGTGTCATTAGGCTGTGGGAGCTCGCCAGCTCCATGGTAACCTGTGGGACCGCTGGGACTGCTGCTGTAGAGCTGCCACACGTCTGTACCTGTGAAGGTGCTGGGGATCAAACCCAGGGCCCCAGGGCTATGCGCCTGCTGGGCTGTACCCTCAGCCCCTACTTTTCTTATTGCCTGTGCTAGAACCTTCAAGGCAGTGTTAGATCATATGGTGACAGTAGGTGTGCTCACCCAGTTCCTCAGGTTGACAGTGTTGCCATGCGGAAGGATGTTAGCTTTGGTTTGCAGAGAAGCAGTTGACACCTGATTCAAGTCACCCAAGCTGACTCTACCACCGCCCTGAAAGGACTCCCATTTGTCTACTCACACAACACTTTCTTTTTAAAATTTTATTCATTTTAATTAGTTATACATGACAGTAGAATGCACTTTGATACATCACATATAATGGAGTATAATTTCTCATTCTTCTGGTTATACATGATGTAGAATCACACCGGTTGAATAGTTATATATGCACACAGGGTAATAATGTCTGATTCATTCTACGATCCTTTCTCCCCCTAATCTAAAGTACCTCTATTCTTCCCTAGCCCCACCCCCACTCTGAATCAGCATCCACATATCAGAGAAAACATCTGGCTTTTGTTTTTTGGAACACTTTTGACACAAAACATTAGTGTTTTCTAATTCCGCACACACCAGCTGGGGATGCAACGATCCAGTTCTGGCACCACCTGCCTGGACTCAGTGTAGACACCACAAGCTAAGGGTTCTGTCCCACAGAGGCCCCACTTCAAAGGCAAGGCACAAACCCAGACCTTCAGGACTCCTGGGGGACCATCTCTGAATTGGGGTCTCCACGGAAGACTCTCCTTGGATTCAGTCATTTGCTAGAATGGCTCACGGAACACAGGAAACTCTTTATTCAAGTTCACTGATTTATTAGAAAGGGCACTCACTACCAAGGTAGAGTCAGAGAGAAGACCCTGGGCCTATTGGGGAGGGGTCCTCTGCAGGCCCAGCACCCAGCACCCTGAGGCCTCACCATTCTCACAGCTTCATTTATAGTGGGAAGCTATCTGTCCTAAGAGCAGGTTAGGAATCACATGCAGAGCTCTTTGGGCCTGGTGAGGTTTTGTTGACTTTGCTTTGGTTTTAGTGCTAGGGATTGAACCCAGACCCTTGAGCACCCTAAGTACACACTCTACCACTGAGATACACCTCCAGCCCCCGGGAGATTTTTTTTTTTTTAATAATAATAAAAAAGTTTTTTCTCAGCAAGAGAAACAATAAGAGAGGTAAATAGGGAGCCTACATCCTGGGAACAAATTTTTACTCCTCACACTTCAGATAGAGCCCTAACATCCAGAGTATACAAAGAACTCAAAAAATTAAATAAGATAACAAATAACCCAATCAACAAATGGGCCAAGGACCTGAACAGACACTTCTCAGAGGAGGACATACAATCAATCAACAAGTACATGAAAAAATGCTCACCATCTCTAGCAGTCAGAGAAATGCAAATCAAAACCACCCTAAGATACCATCTCACTCCAGTAAGATTGGCAGCCATTATGAAGTCAAACAACAACAAATGCTGGCGAGGATGTGGGGAAAAGGGTTCACTGGTACATTGCTGGTGGGACTGCAAATTGGTGCAGCCAATTTGGAAAGCAGTATGGAGATTCCTGGGAAAGCTGGGAATGGAGCCACCATTTGACCCAGCTACTCCCCTTCTTGGACTATTCCCTAAAGACCTTAAAAGAGCGTACTATAGGGACACTGCTACAACAATGTTCATAGCAGCACAATTCACAATAGCTAGACTGTGGAACCAACCTAGATGCCCTTCAATAGATGAATGGATAAAAAAAA